TAGGTCTCCGAGCTGCGTGGCTTGCTTGCCTGAGCTGTTTCTGCCTTCCCGGTCTCCGCCCCGCCCTGGCCTAGCGCAGATCTGCCTCTGCAAACCGCACATTTCGCTTTTGTCTCCTGCCCTGGGAGGTCGCAGAGGCCAGACTCCGCTGGCTGACGAGCTTGCGTGCTGTGCTTCTTCCTCTGAGGCACTAACACTGGCTGGTGTGGAATTTTTGGTAATGCTTTTTAACAAGTTTGGTTCCGCAGCTGCTGGGGGAAGCCGGCCGTCCTTCCTTCGCCTCTCGGCGCTGACAAGGAGGCTTCTCCCAGGAAGTGCTGCAGGTTAACGCGGGCGGTGGCTGGGAAGAGCCCTGCCCACGAGACGCCATACTTCTCAGGGCGCCAGTGAGTCGCTCTCGGGGCCAGGCCCTTCTGGAAGCATCTTGTCAGGGAAGGTGAGGGCAGCTCCAGAGAGCCCACTGGCGAACGACAGTTCTCCTTTGGTCGCTGTATCTTTGGACTTGGGCACTCTTGCTTCGTGTAAGGTCTGAATGAAAACTGAAGGTTTCACTCATGCATTTGAAGAACGAAGCTGCTCTCCCTGCAGGTCACGGTGGGCGGTGTCTGCGTGGAGACAGGTGCTCGGAGTCTGCTCTTAAATACCCCGAGTCTCCTTCAGGAGACTGCAGCTCGCTACTAAGTTTCCTTCAGACTGACTAGGTCCTGCCATAGTAGTTTAAACATCGGCACGTCTTCAAGTTTTTTGGTGACCTTGGCATTTTAGTGAAAAGATGTTTATGCTGTATTTTTGCCTTTGACTGCTCGTTTAAGTGTGCAGTTAGAGATGCCGTGACTTGCTGTGAAACAGCCTGCAGTCCGTGAGTCGGCCCAGCCGTTCCCTTTAACTTCTGGCTTTTCTGCTTGCGTTTCAGGAAAGCCTCATCACTACTGTCGACTCTACTCCCAGGTAGGCGGCCGCTTCTTTTTAAGGGGTTCGTGGTGGGAGGCACCGGGCTTCTCCTGTGGCACCTGAGTCCTGGGCCCCTCAGGGGACACCCCAGGGGC